GGTTGAGATTTAATGTCCGACAGGTTTTAATATGTACGAGGGTTGTCCCAAAATTTCGTAGACTGTGCTCATATCTTTCAAAGAAATTAATGTATCTTTATAAAATTTTCAGGGTTGATAAAGCGTGTTCTTGGCAGATAAATTACGAAGTTTTATCAAGTTTACCTGAAATTTTTTTGAGTAAGAAGATTTAAAGTGATATAGTACTCTAACACCCGGAGCAATCTGCAACGTCAAAAAATACAAATGTCAACAGTTCAAATTTTTGGAGAAAATATTTCAATTAGCAGAATCAAATTCTTAAATTAAAGGAAACGGTTATAGGTATAAATTGAAATATCTTAATTACTATGATATGATCAAACTTAAATTATGTAAACAAAGTATATGCATGTACAGGTATGAAATAATAATTATTTGAAAACGCTATATTTCTGCGGGCTTTTCGTCCGTTTTCTCTAATGGAGTTGCACATAGGAACTCTTGCCCATTTCTTAGCCCTGTCTTTTATTTTAGTTACTGTTATTCACATATACACAGAGAAACCGTTTTAGTCATTCTAAATACTAAGGACGAGAAAAAGTTTCCTTGTCTAACAAACATTTATGACTGGTACATTTCTGTAACAGTGAATTTAGGATCAAAACACTTGAACATAGTCCAGTGCGCCGCCTCCGCCAACGCAGCCGCCATTTTTCAAAAAGTCGGTTTTCAACCCCATGTATATAAAACGTCATAAAATTAATTTTTATCAAAGCATAAACACCAAAAATTGAGGAAATATAGTTAATAAAACAATATTGAGAATTTTCACTTCCATTCAAAAATTACAGGGTAGTAATCACTTTTCCGTAGGATTTTAAATATAATATACCAAATTTTAATTGCAACTTTTGGGTGTTGCGCCGCCTCCCTATACCAGACAATGAAATGCGTCTTTAAAATTGGAATAATTTGTGTAGTTACTCCATATTTGTCCATAAATTTATTAGATAGTGTTGGTTTAATCTATATACGAAGTTTTATTAATGTATGATTTAGGGTTCCTACAAAACAACGCTTGTCTACGGAATTTTGGAACAACCCTCGTAATTCATATGGACATGCTGATTCCACCCCACCCCTTAAATTAGTTTTTTTATTAATAATATTATATAATATCAGATTAGTCTATTATGCAATATCAAATTAGTTTTAATTACTTTTCATCAAATTCATTTTAAAACTTAAGCTAGCCAACAAGAGCTATTTTTAATCCAACAGGCTTACCCATCTGCCCAATACCCAAGGGATGTAGATAACACTGATGTTCTATCAGTTAGATCCTCACACTCAAAACTCATTAATTTCTCTCTAATTTGACATGCAATTTTCTGTTATCAAAATTCTTCTTGACCAGTGCTTGATAATTGCACTCAAGGGAGAGGTAGGATTTCTCTAACATACATTATATTTGTTATAGATTGCTGTCAAGTATATGCTTAAAAAAATAAGTATTTTCTTGATTTAACACTTTTTTAATAAGAAGAGAGCAATACTCTTATATAATTTGGGATGCTTAAATGAATAGTAAAAAGACACATTTTTTTTAATTTCACTTAAATTAAAGGTCACAGTGACCTTGAAATAGGTCGCGACACACCTTCTACCTAAGAGGCATAAGCTGGCCAAGTTTGATGATTGTTAGTCTTATATTTTCTAGTTATGGGCCGGAAAGGATTTTTCCATATTTGGCTATAACTTCTTAATTAAAGGTCAGAGCGACCTACTTTTTGTGCGCGACACACCTTCTACCCAAGATGCATCAGATGACAATGTTTGATAATCCTAGGCCTAATAGTATTAAAGTTATGAGCCGTAAACGAAAAAGCTAACAGATAGACGGACAGACGGACGGACACGAAGCCTATAACATAATACGTCCCGTCTTAAGACGGGCGTATAACAGTTACTTAGATAACTTCATTATGATTTTACCTAACATACAAGTACACTGTATGCTGGGTTTCCTCTTAAACAATATTTTACAGTCTTTCGAGACCAGGACTTCATACCATCAGCTGGAGATATAATGGGAAATTATTGTGCCCCCTATTAGCCGACAACTTTTTATTTTCTTTTGAAACAGAAATTATTCTAAAAACTTCTACATGAAAAGAAGAAAGGCTTGTTGAGGCCTTCATCTCAACATAAATCATCGATGTTTTATCAATCAACATCTACTTCCATTTATATGTCGACTCGATATATCGCACATGGTTTGAATAAGATGAAGTTTTAAACCAAACAAGCCACTGATATATAAGATTATTTTCTACAGACCCGATTTAAGTCTATTTTTAGCCACTTCTACAGTCGTTTTTGGAGTATTTTTATGGCTTGGTGTTTGGACATTTTGTTTTACATGTTAAATAGCATTTGATATATCATTTCTTTCAAACTTAATCTAACTACAGAGAAAATGTGCATTGATATTACCGCGGATAAGACCAGTACCTGAGATCCTCTTTGGAATCTGATCAAATTACACCTATTGTGTTTCCAGGGGGTTTATGTTCTGTTTTTGAATAGTTTTAATACTGAATTTATCAGATAAAGAGGCCTAGACGGTGGTGGTCTTTCTACTAATTTGATCTCCTTTTGAAGAAGAGCTCTATATAAAGATATACAAAAATGATCAAACTTTAAAACTAAAATGTATGAATTTGTTTTTGCCAAATGATAGTAGACAGCTAAAGATATATCTAAAAAAAGATATGTTATGGTTAATTTTAACCCCCCCCCCCTTTCACCCCGCTTCCTTAATTACTGAATTATCAGATTACTAAACTAATCGCTTCCTTAATTACTGAATTTACGAGATTAATAACTAACCGTTTTATCTTTAAATTTTGCATTCAGAATGACAAAAAATATTGCATGTTTCGGGGAGTATTTTATGAGATCAGCTTTGTTTTCCTCAATAGTGATATTTACAAAGTAGAGTAACAGTTTCTCGTGTTACCAGTGAAAACATGTAAAACTTTAACATTAAAACACTGAAAAGATATCATGGCAAATATCAGAACAGGATAGAATATATAATTAAATTACTTTGATAAAATTCACAATTTATATTTTTAGCAGATCAGGGGACGTAATTTTGTGTGTGTCATTTGTACGGATAACATTTTAAAAAGCTACAAGAAATATATCCTTGCAAATAAAAAGTAAGATTAATTAGGGGTTGGTTAACTCTGTGAAAAAATTCTTTAAAAAAATGTAACTTTAATTTAATTGAAGTTTGTCTGAGTTTATTTGTTTCTAAGCAATGTGCTTCTTTGACTGAATATATATCCCTAAACAAGCAAATTAATGGGGGGTTAATTTATTTTAAAGGTTATGTTTTCAAAAATTTAAGACGAGGCTGTTGAAGAAGATTTCATCTACGCAAAATCATTGGAAAGAACCCTTTAGAGTACTCCAAAATACATCATCACTAAACTCCTGATCATGATCACCATTTGGAAACTCTATATATGTCTTCTGGTTAATCAGATCCATTAAAGTTAGAGGAATATCCTTCAAAGGCAAAGTTTCATAAAGGATGAGGAAAATCACATTTTCATCTTTCCTGCTGTAAATTTCTTCCATTTTGGCGATATGTAACTCGTACATACACCAGCTGGACTTGATGAAATTAGGGGAAAGGAGAATAATCGTTTTTCTACTTTTATTAACGGCGGTTATAATGTTCTCAGCGATGTCGAATCCTGGTACAAAATCGCGCTGATGAATACATAATTTTATGCCTTCCTCCTCTTCCAATTCTTTTATCATTCTCAGGACAAAAGATCTGTCCTCATCAGCATAGGAAACAAATGCATCATACTGGTTAAGGGGAAGATTTTCACTTCGCAAAGATTTATACTGATGGTAGCGGCTTTTTGTCATATAATAAAAATAGCGAAGTTTCCATCTATATCTGTAGGCCAGTCCCGTACAAAGTATGAATAGGAAGCAAACCAGTGTCCCCGTAATTACAAAAATAATTGCGGTATACGAACGGCATTCCCTTTGTAAATTTAAAATATATGATTTAATTTTATCAAATTTTAAGACTTTTCTCTCGTGTTCTGTATCTTCAGTGCAATTGTAATTGTCAAAATGCAAGAAATTTATTTTCTTGGTTTTATTTTTTTCTTCCATCCATTTCATGAAGTCGATTGTTCTACATGTACATATGAAAGAATTTTTCAGAAAGTTCATATTTAAAGTTTTTGTCGATCCTAGGCTGTCAAAGGCTTTCATATCTCCATCAGAAAGCGATGTTATTTCATTGTTTGACAGATCTATGGAATAAACAATTTTTATGTGACTGGTGTTAATCTCCCATGCTTTAAGAAAATTTTTGCTTAGATCTAAGTACTTCAAATTCAATAAATTTTGAAACACAGTCTTTGGTAGTGTCGAAATTCGGTTTTCTTTCAAATCTAATATTTCCAGTTTCCTCAGATTTCTAAATATTAAACCTTTCATGTCTGATGCTAAGCTAAATCCAAGGATATTATTTCCAAGATATAATTCTGTCAAACTCCCTGCATATTGGAAAAAAAAATTTCTGAGACATAAGAACAGAAATTATTTGAAAGATTGAGAACTTTTATAGAATTTAATTCATGAACTGGACCATCCCATGAATAAAAAGCATTGTCTTGGAGATAAAAATGGGTTATATTGTTCTTCGAGAAATGTAATTCAGATATTGGGAATCGTAAATTACTACTATTGCCGTAAATCACTTGTATTGCTTTTGGTACAGGAAAAAAGAAGCCTTTATTTCAATCCACGATATGTAAAATAAAAGGGTCCTCGTAATATTTACTTTGGTCTTCAATTTTACGTGACATGACATGACTTGATGATGAATTTAAAATTTGGCTACTTCTTCTACCTTTGAATTTGGTAATCATGCTATGATCTTTTGAATTTACATAAAGACTACCTAGGGTTATTTCCAAATTTGGGTTGTTTGTGGAGGCACAATATGGCACTGGGTCATTCGAACTCTCGTTACAGGTATCCATTTCATGAACAGGATGACTTGAATGCTCAGCACTAATGTTGATTCTCTGCATATTTTCCAAATAGAAAACATCCTTAACGTATTTTCCAAAGGTAAATTTGTTGTCGGATACAGAAACAAACTTGATGGTCTTTGGTAAATAGCGGATTGCGGTGTGCTCAATCATTTCTATCCTGTTACTGTCTAAATGCAATTCCTTCAATTCTGTGTATTGAAGAAACTTAAAGTCTTCTACAAGAATTTTGGTCCCCATTCCGAATGCACAGTGAATTTTGTTAAGACGAAGTGTTCTAATTGACGTATTTTGCAGATCAAAAGAAAGACTTCTAAGAACTTTAAATGTCAAATTTGAGTTGTATGATAAATCGATGATTTGAATGTTCATTAAATCTTTGAATATTCCTTCAGTATGACTTTGGTTCTGTATTCGTAATTTATTATATTGTAATAAAAGTGTAGTTAGGTTTCTCAGTCCCTGAAAACATTTCCCTGAAAGAGTATGTATACTATTATATGAAAGATCTAAATGGACCAGTCCATTTGGAATGCGTTCTCTTAACGGCAAACACATTAGATTATTGTGACTGAGGTTGATGATTTTGACGTCTCGTGAAAACACTGGTGATTTGGTTAGATTTAGGCGAGAGCAGTCTGCGTACAGTCGATAGTTGTCCATTAAACACTTGCAAGAAGGTTCTGAGGAACACTGCAATTCATGATCAGTCATTCCCGTGGCCAGAAAGAATGTCACCACTAGTGTTCGGAGGTAGAGCCTCGTCATCATAGTAACCTTTGATGGAAATAAAAGGCATTAAGACCATTGTCATAATTTTGTATATATTATTTAGTGAAAATGTATAACACTGTAAAATAAATGACGTATGTGTGCATGAGAGCAATTTCTTTCATCATACATATAGGATGATAAGTTTAAAGAGCAACTAGACAGGTCTTAAAGGTACTTGGACACAGATTTGAAGTTAATATTTTCTCTATAATATTACAACTTATATATTTTAATAGCATTTCACACAAAAATTAATTAAAAATCTTATTTCATTTAAAAGTTATTAAAACTTTAAATTTTTTGGCGGGTTTGATTGACACATCCTTGCACTTTCACAAATTTTGAATTTATTCTTAATCCTTAGGAAAAGTGGCAATCCTGATGTGTATTAATGAAAAATATTGATACTATAATCCAGAAAATTCAGAATAGACAAGAACTAAAGCAAAACAAACACACGATATTGTAACGGGGGGGAGGGCAGCAATCCTCTACTACTCTATTGGACCGCACTCCCTCACTCTATCTATAGGGGCTGTCTTATCTTTCGTGGCAAGGCTTGCGTTACACAGCTCAACCCGAGCTCAGGAGGGCTAGTATGGAACAGTGGTTAAAAACTCAATACTCTTTAATCTTATATCACCACACACTAAATTATCTCCCTTTAATCAATGAACTCAGATAATACACCACTGTCCAAAACCTATAAACCTCCTTTTATTAACCCGCGCTCTCTAAGTTACACTAAATTTATTAATACACGAAATCTCTCAGCTTTTCTTCTCTATGTGTCAAGCTCGTTACAACCTAGACCCAAGGAAGTCACTAAAATTCTTGAATACTCATTATCTCATTACTCAGTTCTCACTCTTTTAAATCCCACAATTTCCATCTTGTTGGAAAATCACACTTTGATAAAACCTTGTAAATCTTTGTACTTGAAATGAGACAAAATACAGTTTTACAATTTATTAAAATAATTATCTCTCAATTAAACAATCAACAAATTCTAAACTCTGTCTCAGTCTGTCTATGTCACCTATTTGTCCTAACCTATCTGTCTAAAACTAACTTCAATGCAACTCACAAAACTCCTAACTCTCAAAACTTCCTCCCAGACCTCCTGGATGAAAGTAAAAACCAATAACTAAAACTTAATCCCTTAAACCTAATCAATTCCTAACAAATTTCAAACACCAGTAATTCCTGCAAATTTCCTAAGTCTGAATTCCAGTTAAAACAGTAGCAAAATTTAGAAATACACTAGCTTCCTTAGCTAAATGTATAAATTACCTAAACAATTTCAAGTAATTCTAAAATTTAACAATAATTTACCAAAAATTCAAACAACCAGCAAAATTTAACCAAGTCCAATTCTCAGTTAAAATTCACTAAATCCTCACCAAAACTTCCTATAAAATTCCACAAATATTCTAAAAGTTCCTAAAAATCCTTAAACTAACCCTGGCTCTTCTTAAAATAAAACTAAAAAGTCATTATTAAATCTAAATTCAAAACGCCCAACCCATACTAACTCCTTACCCCTAAAACACTTCTTCTCTAAATGAATCAACCTAGCAGAAGAGCAAAAATTCCTTGAATCTCTCTCTTTTATACAACAACATGACGTAATTGTTGGAAACTGTTGGACTTGTTGGAAAACGTTGGAGAAACTCTCGTGACATTTCCCGTAAGCAGCAAAGTCTGTAGAAAATTCTAATAACTACGTACAAGACAACTTTTCTGAATGAAAGTAATCTCTAAATACATTCTTCAATTAGAATAAGTAAATTAATCTCCATTTAAATCAACAAATAACACAATTAACTCCAAAAATCCGAAAACTATCGTAACTTTTACGATCGGGCTCGACCTACACAATTAACGACCGCCAAGTTCGTAAACAAATCTGCCAGTCAATAAACTGCCGATAATTAACTGAAAACAAGTTAAACTTCAAGAAAACATGATTCCATCCATAAATCTATGGTTCATCTACTACAGAAGACCAATTTAAGTCCCTGAAACATGAAGTAAGCTAAAATAATACCACAACTTTCTACTGCTATGATCAGCTGATTTCTACGTAACTCAAAACATGTGCACAAACTATTTCAACTAATGTAAATCACTTAAACTTGTCAATAATCACCTATCAGCTACATGCAAAGCATAAATCAGGACATATTTCTGCAATGTAATTATAACAAATATACAAATTCATCTTAACTCTCCTACAATGTCAACAATAATCAGGTTCAATAACTCTGTATAAAACTGATCTGTCAAATCAATGGACCGTTACAATATATTGTCAGTCCATGCAGATGTGGTGAACAGACTTTGGCGATTTAACGCACCCGATGAATCGTAAACACCAAACAATAACATGTTTACAAAAACCTGTGTACATAACACGAGTGTGATCGATTCGCAAAACTCTGTACACAACGGAATGACGATACTTGTGAAGTAGTTCTGCTTTCTAACATTTCTACTCTGAATAAAATCATTCTTCTTGATTTAAGTTTATTCTCTATATATAAATTAGTAAGCACCAAAAAATCTTGGAAACGACATGTCTCGGATTTTGATGAAATTTTCACCATAGGTGTGTCTTGGTACAAAACTAGTAAATATGGTGTCGGAAGTTCCACACGTGCACTTGGTTGCCATGGAGACGGATCCATTGAATTCGGCCATTTTTGGCCCATTTTGACTAAATGAAAACATGAAAATTGAGGAAATGTAAATGAATATTTATCGGTATCTAATACACTCTAACAAAAATCATTGGATCATATGATAACATGACATTTTAAGGTACACAGGGCATATAATCGTTTATTCTAGAAATATTCCTCCTGTAAGAAAAAGGTCATGCAAAATTACATGGTTTCTAAAAATTTGAAAAATGGGGAAATTGTAATTTTTTGAGATCTTTGAGGCTAAATAAGAAAAATTGTCCGCGGAAATTTCCCAAATCTTATATGTGTTATTATACTTGGGAATAAGTAGTGTCATTTCATGAAAAAACATAAGTGGGCTTTTGCTCCTATTTTTAGTAACATGCATCTATAAATAGATATATTTTAGAAAAATGTGAAAAATCAAATTTTGGCAAAGTTTAAATTGTCATTACTGCATAATTAGAACGTATGTTGTAAAATTTGAAATTTTGATGACAAGAGCTGGACACTACTAGCTGGTATGGACAACGGTTGAGGGAAATTCCCATTTTTATTTTTAGTAACAGGTGGCTAAATATAGATATGTCTCTGAATATTAGGAAAAATGGCATTTTTGTTCTAATTGGAAGCTTCATATAAAAAGTCCTAACAAATATAAAGCTTTCTACAATATGCTTTCAGAATGTACATGTGTTTGTTCAAAAATTGCTACAATATTGAGGATGGACTCTTGTCTCATTTAATGGCAACAATGGTCTAAAAATAGATTACTCGAATAATTACGAAAATGTAGATTATCGCACCTTTTCAGGCAATTTTTAGATGTAGTTGCTGCATAATTAGGAAATATTTTGTAAAATTTTAGATGTAAATGACAGGATCTGGATACCACTAGCAGGTATGGATAATTGATGAGGGGAATTCCCATTTCTATTTTTAGTATCAGGTGGCTAAATATAGGTATGTCTCTGAATATTAGGAAACATGGCATTTTTGTTCTAATTGGAAGCTTCATATGAAAAGTCCTAACAAATATAAAGCTTTCTACAATATGCTTTCAGAATGTACATGTGTTTGTTCAAAAATTGCTACAATATTGAGGATGGACTCTTGTCTCATTTAATGGCAACAATGGTCTAAAAATAGATTACTCGAATAATTAAGAAAATGTAGATTATCCCACCTTTTCAGGCAATTTTTGGATGTAGTTGCTGCATAATTAGGAAATATTTTGTAAAATTTTAGATATTGACAGATCTGGATACCACTAGCTGGTATGGATAATTGTTGAGGGGAATTCCCATTTCTATTTTTAGTATCAGGTGGCTAAATATAGAGATGTCTCTGAATATTAGGAAAAATGATTTTTGTTCTTCATATAAAAAGTCCTAAAATATAAAGCTTTCTAAATATGCTTTTAGATGTACATGTGTTTGTACAATAATGCTACAATATTGAGGATGGACTCTTGTTTTTATAGCAACAATGGTCTAAACATAAATTACTCGAATAATTGAGAAAATGTAGATTATTGCACCTTTTTAGGCACTTTTAGATGCCATTTCTGCATAATTAGGAAGTATATTGTAAAATTTGAGATGTTAATGACAAAAGCTGGACACCATTAGTCGGTGTGGACAATGGTTGAGGGGGTTTCCCAATTCTATTTTTAGTATCAAATGGCGAAATATAGATTTGTCTCTAAATATTAGGGAAAAATGGCAGTTTTTTGCTAATTTGAATCTTCCTAGAAAATGTCTTAAATATAAAGCTTTCTACAATATGCCTTCGAAATGAACACTTGTTTGTACAGGATTTGCTACAATATTTAGGACTGACTCTTTTTCTTATATCAACAATGGTCTAAAAAGATTCCTAGAATAATCGAAAAAATATGGGTTATTGTACCTTTTCAGGCAATGTTGGAAAGAAAAATCAATGTTATACCGTTAGTCTGGAAATTTTTGCTGTAGGTAAATTTTTAGCAAATTTGCGAGTTCATTGCATTTGCAAAAATATTTTTCTTAAAAATAAAAACAAATAAGAAAATGTTAACAAAGCAGGGGTTATTCGCAAAATTTTGATACGTAAAAATTAATAAGCACCATTTTGACCTGAATTCGCAAAATAAAAAACGACGTAAAAATTTCCAGATTTACAGTAGACGTTGTGTGACTGACAAATAATTCCAATCTATTTAGTCAAATGCACACTATCTGTACGTGGGGCTCTCTTTTCTATTTATAGCACATCCACTTATATGTAGCAACTTCTCAGCAGAAGAAGAAAAATGAAAAGGATTAA